CTGGCGAAACGTTAGGAAGAACAACCTTCAGAACATGGCCAAAGAGCCCGAAAAAACCACAACCATCACTATACAGACTTTCTCACTTTGGCCCTTTGTGTCTCTGCTCTTACATCTACGTTTCTCTTATATTTTGTTATAAGATACATAAAAGAAGATAAAAATTGCTTGCAGCATTTTAAACAAAACCAGGATTGTTCTTCCTGTGAGACAGGATGATAAAGTAGCAAACAAACCCAAGCATCCCTAGGTATGTTAGTAACTGCTGACAGAAGAAAGTAACATGCTAACATTTCAGCCTCATGCTGCCCATCAACGGCAAGCCTAATCAATTTCGAATTCAAAACTCAGATGGAATTTGAAGTTAAAGTAAAAAGCCTTCTGGAACAGGAAGGTTTTGACCTGGCGCCGAAATGTCATCAGTGTCATCAATGGCAAGCCTAATCAATTTCGAATTAAAACTCAGATGGAATTTGAAGTTAAAGTCAGGGGTTGATGTTATTTGCCATCAGTGATCAAAAGGAAAGTCTCAAAACCAGTGCCCTAAACATCTTGCACTCACAGGTGCTTGCAGTGAATAAACTGGAAACATATATACACATAACACAAACATCCAAATGTGCTGTCCAGGAAGCAACCAACTATGTACATACAGACCGCTGTGTAATAAAGATGTGCTGTACATCTTTAATGCACCAGTATGAAGGTTATTCCTTTGGGGTAGCAGTTACTGCCTTTACAGTTACATTGGTGCATCTGCAGTCATAAAGCAAGCAAGTCCCCCAGGTAAGGGGAACCAATACAGTACAGCATTTAGAATACTGTGTGGGCTCAAAGCTGCACTTACCAAATGCTCCTGGGCCAATCATTATATTTAAGTCCAACTTTGTTCTTCCTAATTGGTGGGTCAGCCCACACTGCTGGGGCATGATCTCACTAGGCCAGGCAGGAGCCACAGCAACATTATTCAATAAGCATATAAATGTACAGTAATACTAAGAAGCAGACACCCTCAAAAATGTATCCTTGGATTAAAGTGATTCGGTGGGTCTGAAAACATTGAAAATGATGCTACCTTACTACATAGAGGTGCTTCTGAGATGCATGTTACGCTACATTTATACAGTCCTAAACATCTTGGAGTAAAGGAAAGAAATTACAAATGGATTAATTAAATAATTGTAAAAAGATTAAAGCTACACTGGTGTACTGCTTTGGCAAAACAAATATAGATTATCTTATTTCAAGCGACAAACTGAAAAAGGCACAGAAAGGGCAGCAAAACTATTTATCTCTAGGCACATATAAAGCTGGCGCTTTTTTCTGACTGACAGACTTAATTAGATCTTTAATGCAATGCGCAGACAGTCATTAGCAAGGCTGTATATTTTTCTCAAGGAGAATGAAAATTCAAAAAAGACAGGAGATATGTTTATTTTATTAACTTACTTTGGGGTCCGCACACTTGAACTTTAGCCTTTCTACCATCTCTAGCATGGCCACCTTCAGGTCCACTTGTTCTCTGTTCTGGAAGACACAAAGGGCAGAGGTCACTTTTGCAAATACAACCAGGACTTCCACAGCATAACTGGAGTGCAGTAAAAGAGGAGCAGCCATCTTTCAGCACTTTCTATTAGCCAAGCTGTTACGAGCCCCTGAATACATTCATTGGCTCTTTTGGGACGGAGTTTAAGCACGCAGCGAACTCAACGAAGAAGAAAAGATGTATCCGCCAAGAGCAGTGGGAGAACTATTGGAATGGAAATTAAATCCAATTGCACTGGCTGAGTCATTCACTGCCTGTGTCACATGGCTCAGCTTCAAGAAGGCTCAAATCCTGCTAGAGGCTCAGCAGTCCTCACCTCCCATTGAAGTCAAAGCTTCATCGGTTCTCAAGAGGAGGCTCAGCACCCTTCAGCATAAGGGCCTTGCAGAGAATACGATAGCAATGGTGACCCAGCTCCATGTTTCATTTATTTTCTGTAATTGGTATTGGCTCCTCGATAATTTAATCCTGCACTTTCACAGTTCCATTTGTAAGATGAAGCAGACGGAAAGAACTAATTAAGGAAGTAATCAAGAGTTCACACTCCACGAAAGATGCAAAGTGTTAGGCACTTGTGGGGTCTCTCAAATATTTGTTTCTTTTGCTTGAACTAGTCTTCTCCAGAACTAAATTGCAGCTCATACTTAAGGGGAGGAAGAGCTCTCAATAGTGAAACAAGGGTTAGACGGAGGTACACTTAAAGAAAGTCGCTTTCCCCCCTGTTTTCCTATGAAAGACCTGTGGTTTTGACAATACATCTTTTAATCTGACTGATAAGAGATCTGGCTCTTTCCCCACAGGATCCATCAAAGGAAGTAATATTTAAAGGTCCAAGCGATCTCTTCTAACAATACATAGGCTGTAATCTTCTTGTGTAGTTGCACAAATGGTGTAATTATTTGGAAGCAAATTGTCCTAAATTAAGAAACCTCCAAGGATGTCCACAGGCACATCGATAATTTCATGAATATCTTATTTTCAGTAGCAGGATTCAACATGCAATACATAGGGTCTACAGAGATTTCTTAATTTGCAGCAATTTGCCTCTAAAAGTTATGGTGTTTGCGTAACTGCACAAAAGGATTTCAGTCATTATGTTAGACATTCTTCCAAATTGCTCTGTCACCGTTGCTGTGAAATAGTCTTCATTATTGGACTCTGTTCCCATCTAAATCCTACTAATTAACCACCACAAAGGCTGAATACTCACCAACACTAGAAATCAACTACTTACATATTCACAGAGCTGCTTTCAATGAAACACTTAGCATTTTCAAACCTATAGGGTGTGTAGCTCTAATCTCGCCACGTTCCATAGTTAAATGCAATTTGTTTATACCTCTCTACAGTATTCTCCAACAAAAATTCAGGTAGCCACTCCTGTTCTTACATCCCAAAGGATGATACCTTCAGGCTGTGAAAACAAAATATAGCTGTTTCTACTGCCTTATGATTGTGAGGCAATATTAAATATTAATCTTTTACATATGGCTAATATTTGTGTTATAGCCAATGAAAATTAAGAGGTCCCAAATGTTCAAAATTTGGAAAGACACAAGCCTGAACATTTGGTCCTTCTAATGTAAAACCTTAAGAAAATTAAAATTAAAATTAGGCATGTTATATCATTTCTGGCCCGAAAGACAGCAATCTGAAGATAACAACTTGCTTAAGTTGCTTCACAAACTGAAACTAAACAAATGGATTACAAAGAGCTGGTCTAATACAGATGCCAAGGAGATTAAGCTGGAAGGAACTTGCTTCAAATCTTAGTCTAACTTACTTGTTTCGTCACTGTTTTATCACTCTTAGTCTCTTTGTGTATCATATAAGAATAATACCAATCTGCCTTACAAAGCCGTTATAAGACAGAATGTCCGTGAAGAAAAAATCTATTTGAACACCACCCCCTTCTATGTCACAGGGTAACATTAAAGAGCAATATGAAATTTAATGCACTGAAATAAGTAATAAAAGAATTCTATATTTCACAGGAAGGAAAAGCTGCATCGAGGCATGCTTGCACCCAGACTCTGTTTGCCTTTGCGTTTCATAATAAAATATATGAATAATAATGAAGGGAAGAGACTGCAAAGGAAGCGGAGGTGCCCGGCCAGGGTCAGGATCAGGATCAGGATCGGGCCACGGAGAAGCCGCGCTCCGGCTCCAGGATGCTCATCTTGCTTCCGCCCTGGTTGCTCCTGCTGGAGCTGCTGCTGCCTCCGGTGCCGGCTCACAAGTTCTCCGCGCTCACGTTTTTATGAGTGGAACAAGACAAGGACAAAGAATAATATATATATCTTCAATTTATCCTTTTACTATGAAAAAAGAGTCATACAAATTAAGTGTTGTATAGGTGCATATGACTCTTTTTTCATAATAAAAGGATAAATTCAAGATTTCACCAAGCTTTCTGGGGTGAGACCCACTTTGCTCTGGCCAATATCACCTGAAAGGCCTTATTCAGGCATTCTCAAATGTGCTTACTTAACCCCTGAGGTAAAAGCGCTAGCATGCCTCCATGCCTCCTTATTTGGTTACTTTCATAAAAATCAGCTAGCCTGAAGAGAAGAGACCCCGCCCCACAAATATAGCAAATATATGTGATTATTAGGTTTCTGTCTCTTGAGAAGGGCCTCATAAATTTCTGCTTTTCAGACAGTTCGCTTTTCTTTTGAGCAAACCCACAAGGGACAAAGAGCTACTACGATTCTCTCTTCACATGCTGAGCAAACATTGTTAACAATGCCTGAATAGGGCTGGAGTAACTAACCACGTAAGTATACAGCAGGCATATAAATGAGACAGATTTATACTGTATGTCAGCCACTTTTCCTTGTGCCTACAAATACTGTACAAGGAAACCTTGTCTAAATATTATACATACTAGGCTCCTGAGTAGTTTTGTGAAATTGTATTTTACTTCCGCATCATGGAAGGATGAGAATCTCAACTAGATGCACAGATTATTCAGACAAATTGCTCTGAATATATCTGCAGAGTTGTAAAAATCTGGCTGTAATTTCTAAATGCTCCATGGAAAGTACATCTTACGATCCTTCTCTTGATTTAGACCAGAGGTCAGGGAACTTTTTAACTTTTTAACTCCCCCCCCCCAAAAAATAATATATGCCAACATTACCCCCTTGATTTGAAAGGAAGGATCTCAGTCACGTGCATCTCGGTCACGTGCGGCCAGTCGAGCGCCGCCGTGAAAGCCTCACCGACCACACCTGGGCCGCCTTCTCCTTCTCTGCTGCCACCTGGTGGGGCTGCACTCAGTCATTGGCCCCCCAGAGGCAGCTCCCCTTCTCTGCCGGCGCACGGCTCCTGGGCAGCCGTTGAAGAGCAGCAGGTGGTATGCCCCCCTGGGGTGCCTGACACCGCCTCCCACTCTGGCAGCGGCACCGGCGGCTGCTCGCTGGGGCAGCCACGTTGGGCCAAGATGTTGGGGCTCCCATGGGCCTCGCAGTTGAAGCGCCACAACAGCTGCCGTACAGAGGGCAAGGAGCTCTGCCAGGCCCAGCCAGCCAGCGCGGAGGTGGTGTCATAGGAAGCTGCATGGCCGGGCAAGCACCGCTGCTGCCCAATGGGCTCCTCCAGGTAGTGGGGCAGCAGTGGCCTGACACCGGGAGGCTGAGCCTGGCCTGGGCCACTGTCAAGACCACGCCCACCCCCCTCTTCTGTGATCTACCTCTCCAGGCGCTGGAAGAAAAGTCTCCTCCTGGCCAGAGCACTCCGGCCACTCACCCAGCCTTGCCCTCTGCCATGGTTGGCCCCACCACCTCCGCTGCCCTACACCGCCAGCCGGGGCCCATCACCGGCCACCACCCGCCGTAGCTTGGTTGCAGCCGGGCCAGAGAGGGGGTGACAAGGGAGCGATTGGGCAGCCAGGGACCCCCTTCTGGACAGAAGAGGTGGAAGAGGAGGAGGGAAGGGGGTTAGAGTTGCATCCTCATTACCCCCGGGATTTTCACTTTTACCCCATTTGGAGTAATTTGCCCCTGTTCCCTGACCACTGATTTAGACAATAAGGGAGAATATCACCCATATAGTGGAGGTGACACTATGCTCCAAATCCTCAGGTGATTAATCCTAGTACTTTCATAAAGACAGTGAATAGCACGGAAAATGCGTTAAAGTCTTGTGGGATCTCACAACATAACGACAACCAAGCAGAAATCTTTATATATTACTGCCTAATATGTAAGGTCAGAAACCTCTATAGTTCAGTTGCCTCTTAGTATCAACCTACTGAATACTGAAATTGGATATCATGGTCAACAGTTCTGAAGACAGTATTCCCCAACCTTGTTTACACAAGAAAATTGGCCATTTTTGTATCAATGTATAGACCATGGACAATGAATCAAGACAAGCACAGGGGAAAGGAAAAGAAGTGGCAAAAGCTTTGAAGAAAAGGGCAGATGTGTGCTTGATGCAACATATTGGAAAAGCTTATTAAAGCTAGTCTGCTAGTCTCTATGGCATGCATGTATCGATTTGAGCAAAATTCACATCTTTAAATGCTGACACTTTCCATATATGCGTAGATCTAGAACAGTGATGGCGAACCTATGGCACACGTGCCACATCCAGCACATGAAGCCCTTTCTTCTGGCACGAGAGTAACCGGGTCACCCACCCACCCTTGCAGAAACAAACCTTTTGAAATGACTGCAGCTGGGATTCCCCATTTCTATTCCTGTTCTGGGTCCTTTAACTTCCTGTCCATCCCCATGATTCCCCCTTTTTAAATTCCTATCTGTCCCCATGATTCCCCCTTTACCTTCCTGTCCGTCCCATGATTCCCCCTGAAACTGCCACTTCCTGTGCCGGTTCTGGTCTTCCAGGCAGCACGGCAGCCACTGGTTTCTTCCCCACCCCCTCATTTTGGGAACTCCAGCCGAAAAAGGTTTGCCTCCACTGATCTAGAATATATATATATATTGAGTAAAACAACACACCTGAACCCTTTCCCAAAGATCAATAAAAATTGACAACAGTAAATATGAGAGTAAATATGAAGAGAAAAAATGTATTCCTGTGGCTAATGAAGATGGAAAATGATAGAATACCCCACCCACACAGATTAAGTCAAGTAAATAACACACAAATAGACAGACTCTTTTCATCACTGGAAACTGCACACCTGTGGCATGCTTCCTACCTGGTATATTTTGGCAACTAGAAAAATTAGAAGCATCATCTGTAACTCCTCCTACAGTTTTGCACATAGCTATGTTTTCTAGGAAGTATCACCCCCCCAAACCATTCATATCTAAGGAGGAAAAAACTAAAATTAGATTTACCAGCTGTGCCTTGGTTGGTAGGGGACGTAAAACTGTAAAAATAGCTACGGCAATGCTGGGCCTCTCCCTGCCTGTCTGCTTCCTGCCTGCCCACAAGGAAACAGAAGATAAGGCCGACTAAGAAAATTTGCATCTGTACCTATTTAACGACTTCCATTCTGAAAAAAACTTAGATAACCCTTTCCTAACCTGGGGTTCTCCTGACATTTTGGATTAGAATTTGCAAGGTTCCTGACCCCAGGCTAGTTGGGACTGATAGGAGCTAATGTCCCAAACATCTGGACATACTGGGCTTGGAAAGGCTCCCTTATACAGCAATGGTCTTCAAACAGCTGTACATATACAACTAGTGTGATGCAGATGTATTACTGGCAGGGCACAATGTTTTTATAATAATAAACTAAAATTCTGCTCTCCTCTCTTGCTAGTGACAAGCCATCTGCTACCTAAAATACCTGCCATTGATTATCTGTCTGTGGCTTTCTGGCATGCTAGAGAAACTTTAAACACTAAGTTTCTTTGAACCTCCCACTGCCCCATCCACCAGCAAGTGTCACTGATGTGCTACAACCTGACCAGGATACTTTATATTCGACAGTATTATTATAGTCATCTACTAATGGAACTGTGACTTACAATTGTTTTTATTTCCAACAACTGTACTGCAATGTCATTTTCCCATACAGTGATGCCTCGTTTAAGGACGATAATCCGTTCCAGGAAAATCGCCGTTAAGCGAAAACATTGTAAAACGAAATTAAAAACCCCATTGAAACGCATTGAAACCCGTTCAATGTGTGCCAGTGGGGTAAAAACTCACCATGCAGCGAAGATCCTCCATATCACTGGTTCTTAACCTTGGGTTACTCAGGAGTTTTGGACTGCAACTCCCAGAAGCCTTCACCATAAGCTGTGCTGACTGGGGTTTCTGGGAGTTGCAGTTCAAAAGCATCAAAGTAACAAAGGTTAAGAACCACTGCTCCATATGGCGGCCATTTTCGCTGCCTATATAGCGAGGAATCCATCCCTAAACACAGTGGGGAGCCATTTTAAGCACCCGGTGGCCATTTTGAAACCACCGATCAGCTGTTAAAAAAACCATCGTTTTGCGAAGAATCGGTTCCTGAAGCAGGGAGCCGATCATCGCAAAGCGAAAAAACCCTATTTAGACCATCGTTTAGCGATCGCAATTGTGATCGCAAAAAGATCATCGTACAGCGATTTCGTTGTATTGCGGAACAATCGTTAAGCGAGGCACCACTGTACTACTCACCTCAGGAGAGCCTCTTGCTGCATGTTTACTGAACTCTACTTAATATACAGCTGATTTACACCACAGCCTTGCAAATTTGAAAGTTTCACTGAAATCAACAGAACAAATATTCAAGTAAATCTAGCTACTTCAACACTTTTAAAACAGTGTCTCGTCTGGTCTGGAATGTCCAAATCAGCCATATTTCATAACCTTGTAGTAATATATGCAATGAAATTTATTTTTAAAAGAATCCATATGCTCTCATTTGAGTTATGTGTGGTAAATTGGTAGAATGGAAAGCCTATGAATATTTGTTGTAGTTGTTGTTTACTCGTTAAGTCTTGTCTGACTCTTTGTGACCCCATGGACCAGAGCACGCCAGGCCCTCCTGTCTTTCACTGCCTCCTGGCGTTGGGTCAAATTCATGTTGGTAGCTTCGGTGACACTGTCCAACAATCCCATCCTCTGTCGTCCCCTTCTCCTCTTGCCCTCACACTTTCCCAACATCAGGGTCTTTTCCAGGGAGTCTTCTCTGCTTTTGAGATGGTCAAAGTATTGGAGTCTCAGCTTCAGGATCTGTCCTTCCAGTGAGCACTCAGGCTTGATTTCCTTTAGAATGGATAAGTTTGTTCTCTTTGCAGTCCAGGGGACTCTCAAGAGCCTCCTCCAGCACCACAATTCAGAAGCATCAATTCTTCAGCAGTCAGCCTTCTTTATAGTCCAGCTTCTTTATGGTCCAGCCTATGAATATACTCAAATGCAAATGACTGGTATACCTGGCTGTATTTACCTTTTTCCCTGTCCTCAAACCTGGCATCCTGATTAGCTGCTTTTACTTTGCTTTGTCATTATCATTTCCTTCTGTCTTTAAATCGCCATTAATTCTATTCCCATGTGGAAAAGGTGGCAAGATTGTATAAGCTATTTAAAATGTAATTAAATAAACCAAAGTTATCTCTCGTTCAAGCACTAGGAGACTACAAGTCATGTGAAACCTAGCTACCTATGAAGAGATTAATGCAAATATATTTTGAAGAATAACTAGCAAAGGATTACAGTGCTAACAGGATGAATTTTATGCATGAAAATATCATTTTTCCATAGCCCATCATCCTATCACTTTTCTCCTATCCTTTCACTGTCATCTTACTTCTCCCACATTTGCTTACAGTGGTGTTAGTAGCATGGCAGATAACCTGAATCTCAGAAATAGAGAGCTCACAAAGGACGAGCAAAACAACCAAGAGGTTAGAGCGTCTTCCTAACAAAGAAAAGATAGCGCTTCTGTCACTTTTGTTGGATTATGGACAACTAAAAGGAGAGGAGAAGACATAACAAATGATTACAAAATAATGCATGATGGTACCTAGAGAAACTCTTCTTCTACCTTCTTCACTAGAATATAACGGTTACTTTGTCAAACTGACTAGCGGTAGATTCACAACACACAAAACGAAGTCCTTTCTTTGCCCAAAAACTTATTAATTGGATTTGGTGACAATCACTATTTTGAATGTTTGAAAAAGAGACTGGACAGACAACTGAAAGACAAGAGAATGGATGCGTTCACTCAATTTGACAAGCCATGGTTCTGCAGGAACTAAATTCCATGGCTTATTTAGTTGTTTCCAGTCTACGCAAAAAGTTGCACCATGTTTAAGCAAATATTAATTTGAGGTTGGTTCAGCTTTGTCCTCAAAGCTCACTTGATCATGACAAGACAGCGTTCCTATGAAACTGATTTCTCTTCTCAATCTATCCAAACTGAATTATAACCATCATATCCTATCTATGCATTTCTTCAGTGAAACTTGTTGGGAACTATGAAAAACAGACTATAAGCTAGATGTACCTTTGGCTGCTCCAGCAAAACTCCTCTTGTGGTTTGTGTATCATCATATATATCAAACAAAACACAGCATATTAATAGTAATCTTAGAACTGCAGCACTGGCATGGCCTAATAACATATGTATAACAGACACTTTCTTTACACACAACAGCAGGGTGAAAATGTTAATATCCACTAAAGTCATGAGGGTCATCAGGGTCTTATATTAATTTTTGCTCCGAAAAACGCATTAGGGCTTATTTTCAGGGGATGTTTTTTTTTTTCATGTACAACCATCTAAATTTATTCAAATACAGTCATGTGTTCTTCTGGTTGCTTCACAGTGGTGGAAGGCGGGGTTTCACTTAATTGGGGCTTATTTTCGGGGTAGGGCTTATATTACGAGCATCCTGAAAAAT